CAAAGAAAAACTGAAGTCTGGGCTCATAAAAGCAGGACAGGGCCTACCTAGGTCCTTTTACCAAGCACCCCAGTGATTCTGACATCAGCCACAGTTCCAGAACCACTGATCTAGGACAGTACTGTCCAAGAAGTATATAATACAAGCCACGTGTCATTTTAAATTTTAAAAAGTAAAAAGAAACAGGTGAAATTTATTTTAATAATATTTTATTTAATCCAACAGCCAAAATATCATTTCAACATGCAATCAATGTAAAAATCATTCATGAGGTATTTTGCATTCTTTTTTTTCCACACCAAGTCTTTGAAATCCAGGGCATATTTTGCATTTAGTGCATATTTCTGTCCAGATGTTTAGTTTTCATCCACAACACTTGATCAGAACTGAGACTTCAGAGATTTCCCATAACCAAGTTGTTTCAAAATAAGGTGACCAACTTGTGCCAGTTTGTCTGAGTCCTGGTTTCAAAACTGAAAGCCCAACTCCTGGAAACCTCTGTCCCAGAAAAACCAGGACAGCTGGTCACCCTACTCCAAACATACTTGACATTTTCCAATAACTGAATCAAGTGTCCGTTCTTAAGTTTAAATTAATTAAAATGAAGTAAAATGAAATCTTCAGCTCTCATGGCACTAGCTCCATGTCAAGTACTCAATAGCTATGTTTATCTAATGGCTACCATATTGGAGAGCATGGGCCTAGGAGCCAAGAAGCCCTCTCGCCTTCACATATAACCAGCTGGAGAGGATTGGGACTTGGCTTTCTTAAAGGAGCTGTGGTTCCCTCAGGACCCCTACAGGGCATCAAGCAGGAGTTACAGCGACTAGGGCCACAGAGTAGAACAGCCACCCTGGCAACACGAGGATAGAAGGGGCATTAGGAGGTCACTGTAACTGTCCAGAACAAGAGGATTACATCCTGATGTGGGATCATGATGGGCAAGGTGGAGAGACAGGCTGGATTACAAAGGTGTGCAATATATAAAACCTTCATGACTTGGTCATTGATTAGCTATGGGGGCGTGGGGAGAAAGGAAATAAGAGGCAGTAATCTAGGAGGATCCTTGGTCAATTTCTCCCATGCCCGCCCCCAACCAGGTTGATTTCAGGTGGTCCAGTTATCTATTGCTGTTTAACAAACCCTCACGAAATGCAGTGGCTTAAAACAAGAAGTATTTTATTATTATATCTCATGGTTCTAGAGGCTGATTGAGCTCAGCAGAGGGATTCTTATTCAGGGTCCCTCATGCATCTGTGTCACGCTCAGAGGATGTGGCTGTCAGATGGAACCTCAGCTGGGACTGTTGGTTGGAATATTGCTATGGGCCAATGTGCATCCAACCCACTCCCAAACAATGTACATTAACAGCAGTTGGTGGAAAACTGTTAGGGGCTGAGCTGTATCTCCCTAATTCATAGGTTGAAGCCCTAACCTCCGGTACCTCAGAGTATGACTATATTCAGAGTATGACTATATTTGGAGAGAGGGTCTTTAAAGAGGTAATGAGGTCAAAACGAGGTTATTAGGGTGGGCCCTAGTATGACTGGTGTCCTTTTAAGAAGAGGCAATTAGGACATGGATACACACAGGGGGAGAACCATGTAAAGACACAAGGAAAAGGTACTATCTGCAAGTCAAGGACACTTTGATCTGCGATTTCTGGCCTCCAGAACTGTGAGACAATAAAGTTCTGTTGTTCAGGCCCACCAGCCTATGGTACTTTCTTTGCTATATAGCCCTAAAAATCAATGTAAGTGCCTACCTGTGGTCTCTCCCTATGGCCCATGCTTCCTCACAGCATGGCAGATGAATTCCCAAGAGGACCAGGTAGAAACAGTACCACCTGTTGTGACCTAGTTTCAGAAGTCACATGGTGTCATTTCTTTTGTAGTCACAGGCATGCTCAGATTCAAGGGGAGGAACACAGACCCACCCCCTGCTGGGATGGTTATCAACATTGGGTTGCAGGTAGGGCATGTAGAATGGAAGATCTTGTTGCCACCGTCTTGGATAATATAACGTGCCACACCAGGTTGGTAACTTGAGAGATTGCGGATGATACAGTTAACCAAGACATGGATTACAGGAAGAGGAGGGGAAGAACAAAGTAAGGTTTGAACAGGTTGGGTTGGCCAAGCCTGTCAATAGTTAGGTAGACATAACTCAGCACTAGGAAGTTAGGTATGTGAATCAGGGCCTCGGGAATGTGTTCTGAGCCAGACCTGTCCATCTAGTAGGGGCCATCAACATATTAGGAGCCAGGGACTGAGTACACCCGGAAAGTGGGAGAAGATGAGGGTTGAGGGAATGTATTAGCTATCTGTTGCTGTATAATAAAGCCCTCCAAAACTTAGTGGCTAAAAACATCTATTTATTATGTTTCTATGTATTAAGTCAGCTGGGTGGTTTCTCTTCGGGCTCATGAGGCTGTGTTCATCTGTACAGGGAGCTAGTATATCCAAGATGGCCTCACTCCTATGTCTGGTCGTTGATGCCAGCTATCGTTGGAGGCTGGGGTCAGCTGGAAGAGTGGGAACCCTTGGGCTTCTCCTTCCATGTAGTCTTTCATCTGGGGCTTCTTTAAAGCATTATGGTTTCAGGGCAGCATTCTAAGTGGGCAGGTCCCAGTGGACAGGCCTTACCAAACACACCTGCTAATGCCTCATTAGCCAAAGAAAGTCACACATCCAAACCCAAAGTCAATGTGGGATGCTTTAGCAGGAGATGTCACTCCTGGCAGCCATTACTGTAAAGAGACACTACAGGAAGGAACACCAAGTGGGCCTCCACTCACTTTTTTAGGGTTGAACAAAGAAACCAAAGATTGAATGACGAGAAGAGAGGAATGAATTCCCATGGGAAAGTGCCAAGCCAGCATTTGCATGACCTTGAGAGCGCATAGCTCACCCTAGTTCCTGCCTGAAATCATCCTCTGGTTTTGGCAACCCAGGGGTCAGTTTCTTTAACATCCCAACATTATGTTCAGTTAGGAAGTTTCCCAAAAATCTGAAGCACCAAATACAGCTCAGTGAAAGCAGTTCTACAGGTCAAACCAATAGTCCAAATTTGCAAACTTTATGATAGTCTGGTTGGATGAGCTAGAAAACCAAGTGTCTTCCAATGTTTTTGACCAAGACCCACAGTTAGAGATGCCTTTGCCTCAAGATCCAGTACGGACATACACACATGTACACCCACAGCTAAACTGAGTTTCCTACAACATAGAAAAGATAACAGTAACCTACCCTTATTATGTGCAAAGCTTTGTGCCATTTTCTTTTTTTTTTTTTTTTAATGCTAGTCATGCCCTGCTAACTTGATTTCATCACCCACTCACGGGTCATGGCCTACATTAAAAGTAGGGTCTTAGGCCATGCAGAGCAGAAGTCAGAACGCTGACCAAATCCTGCTTTGAGCCTTATTTGTTTGGCTTCACCTCTTCGTTGTTTTTTTTTTAAAAAGCAGAATTTTATACCTTCAGGCAGGCCTCCCTTCTCCTGGACCATTTCGGATTGTCTGATACCCAACTGCTTCACATATCTGTGTTACTTAGCCTGGGTGTTGAAGGCACTTCTCTTGGACCTTTGAGTTTTCTAGATTCCACCAGAATAGATGTATGCACTTACACATTCCCTGAATATTAAATGTGCGTATCTTACATGTCAGTCACATTACTGGCCAGGGAAACACAGCAGAGAACAGACAAAAATCGCTGTCTTCATACAGCTGAGATTCTAGGAGAGAGTTACAGATAAGCTTCCCAAAATAAATAATTCTCTACTAGAGGGTGAAAAATTCTTTAGTGAAAATAAAGTGGGAAGGGTATCAGCATGCTCTAAGAGCTACCAGATTGCAGGCCTCACACCCCTTTGCAGAAATGAGGAGCCCAGAATGTTCCCAACAGAGGTCCGAGAGAGAGACTGCGGGAGAACAGCAAGAAATTTCCTCAAAAAGAGAGTTCCCAGACTGCCCAGTCGGGTAAACCTGACCCATCATGTTCTCAGATCGTTCCGCCAAAAGGTAAAGCACCAGCAACTTTAATCTAGATTTCAAATCAGTCAGCCATTAGAAGGGGCAACGTTGCAAGACGCGGTCACGGGGCCTTCAGTCGGTATAGTATTTAAGACTGTTCCCTAATTCGGCCTCCTCAGTCCCCATCTCCCTCTCTCCCGCGGGATAATCGGCCACCTCGTTAGCTCTGCACACATGACCCCTCTCGACCGGTCTCCTGGTGACTGTGCCTGCCTTATCTCTTGCCTCTCCTCCCTCACATTTTCCGCTCCAACAAAGCTAAACACAGCCCCGTAGGGGCTTTCACGCTTCTGTGCCTTTGGACACGCTGTTCTTCTGCCTTGAAGGCCGCTGGCCTGCATCCTCGCGCGCCCCCGCCCCATCCTCAGCGAGCTCCCATTCATCCTTAAGAACCCAGCCCGCTGTCCCCTTCTCCACGGAACCCCCTTTCACCCCTCGGCCCTGTCCCTGTCTGCAGTACCCATCTCGCATTTGCTTCTTTGCGCCAAGAAAAATACTGGGGTCTCCAAATCCCTCCCCTTCCATACTCGGGCCTCCTCAAGTGCTGGAGTTATGCTGGCTGCTAGCTTAGCACAGTCCCGAGCTCCGAGTGGGAGCTTGCCCGCAGGTTCAGGCTGGCTCTAGGGGCCCGCAGTTCGGCCCTCCGCCTCCCCGGGGGCCCGGCGGGGACCCGTACCCCAGCACTCGCCGGACACCGGACCGGCCCCTCGCACGGCCGCCCAGACACTGACATCAGCAGCCGGCGGCGCCCGAGCCGCGCGCGACTACAAGTCCCGGCACGCCCCGCCGCGGCCGCGCATGCCCAGCGGGCCGGCGTTTGAGTGGCAAGTTGTTTGTTACAGCGAACACCAGCTGCTCTCCGCGCCGGGCGCCGCTGCTTCGCCAGCGCTGCCGCCCTCGCCTGCCACCCGCCGCCGCCCGCCCGTCGCCCGCGGCCCTTCGCGGCTCGGCGGGCCTCCCCTTTGTCCGTCCCGGCCCGCCCGGCAACGAGGTCCCGGTCCCCGGGCCGGCTGCCCGCGGCGCTCGGTGCCGGCTGGGCGCGCAGGGGGCGGGGGCCGCGACTTGCCCCCCGCCGATGAGCCGCAGCGGAGCGCGGGCGGACGATGGAACTCCACATCCTGGAGCACCGGCTGCAAGTTGCCAGCGTCGCCAAGGAGAGTATCCCGCTCTTCACCTACGGCCTGATCAAACTTGCCTTCCTGTCCTCCAAGACCAGGTGAGCGCGCGGGGACGCGGCGCGGGTCGGGGAGAGACAAAGAGGCGCACCCGGGTGGCTGTCTTCGCCGCCGCCGCTCGGAAAACAACTTCGAGCCCCGGGGAGCGCCCCTACCCCGCTGGTCGCTCTGTTTTGGACAAAACCCCCCAGTCTGCCCTCCAGCGGGGTCCTTCACCCTGGCCACCTACCCCGGGTGCACCCCAGTCGCTGTCTGTCCCCATCTCAGCCCCCTCTCTCCTATCCGCTCCCGAAGATCAGGAGGGCCGGGGGGGCTGCAGTGACGATTCGGTGAATGAACGAACGAATGAATGAATGAAAAACAGGTGTGGGGACCCAGCAGTGGAAAAAAACAAACTAACACCCCCATCCCCCAATCCCTCGGTTGGGCCGGCCCCCGTCGCGAGGGAGGGGGTAGGGATTCTGCTGAGCGCGGCTACCCGGAGCAGAAAATCATAAAATCATTAGTGGGTGTTTATCTCAAGGTGCCTGGGAGGGTTGCGGACTGCTCGAGTGGCTGGGGGAGGGCAGGGGAGAGGCTGCAGGCGAGGGTCTCGTTGGCTCTTTCTCCTCCAGGTCCGGGAAGGTGGAGGGGGGTGGTGTTTTGCCGAACAGTGTAAGGGGGAGGAGCGGGCGTGTTTATGGCTCTGCCTTGAGGCTGGGCTTGGATGCTGCAGGGGGAAAAATAGTTGAAGGCCTTGGGAGGTTGAAAAAAAAAAAAAAGTTGGATTTCTCACAAACAGGTCCGGGTCTGACTTTGGGAGCCCCGATGGGTGCTTGTATTAGGGTAGTTTTTTTTAAGGAGCCGTAGCCCAGTGGAGTGTGAGTGTGAGCTAACTGCTGTAACTTAAATCCCTTGTTTGTCCACAGTCGTGACCGTTTAAAGGGATGAAGTTGTTGCCGGTTGGATTTTTTCGGGGGCTGGAGCTGAGGTGCTTCTCCCTTCCCGTAATACGAACTATGGGTCAAGGTTAACGTGCAAATGACGTGCCCCTAGGCTGCCGCCGTGGGCGCTGAGCTCAGGGCAGCTCCCAGGGTGCAGGGAAATAATTCAGCGCAAGCTTCTTATCTGCCTGTTAAAAGTTCTTGCCTGCAAATCTCACTTTGATGTGTGTGTCTGGGCGGGAGCTCAGTCCTGCCATTGTTTGCGAGATGGAGCAGAGATCTGCCAGTGGCATCTTGTTTACTTTCTTCCCTGGCTGCTCCGTGGGGTATGGAGGGTTGAAATCCTTGCCATCCCTGAGCTCTGGCTCCTTTGATTGCAAAGGTAATTATTAAACAGGTCATTTGCAAACAAAAGCCAACAGCTCAGATTCTGAAACCCCTGGCCCCCTCTGCCTCTTGACACCCCCCATCCCTCATGTACTTGCCCTCTGCCCCCTACCCCCTCGGGCTGTCTTGAGACTCCTAGGCTGGTAAGAGAAAGGCAATAAGAAATGGCCTTGTTTTTCCAACCTTGGCCCTCAGCCCCAGGCAGACCCCTGGCTGATTTCTCCGCTACCGTTCAAAATGGAATGATGACTCAGGCTGTTGCTGTGCTGTGCCTGGGTGCTGGGTGGAAGGAGGAGGCACTGGGGGCTTCTTAGAAAAGGGGTCCCCCCTGCTGCCTGTTTCCCATTATGGAAAGACTGGCCCTCTCCAGTCCCTCCCCAGGGTCCAGCTCAGAGGCCTCATATGGATGGGCATGTCCCGGGGGCAGGAGGGCCTGCTGACACGTCTGCTACAGACAACCTGCCCCCCAATGGGTCCCGCTTCTCCATCTCCTGGAGGAGGCAGCAGGTCTGAGGCCCAGGTGACCAGTCCAGTCTCAAGATGACTCAGAGGTCAAAGGTCATCTCCAGTTCCACGGGCTGGTTGTAGTGTGTTGAGCACACTTGTCCAACGTCAGAAGGCCAGCCCTCCCTGCACTCAGGACCAGGACACTGGCTTTGGGTTGTGACTAGCCCCTTACTGCCTGCAGGACCTTGGCAAGTAATGAAGATGGCGCCAGTTGGCCCACTAGCTTTCCCAGAGCTGCTGTGCGTACAGCATGGAATGATTGTGGAAACTGGCTTTTTAGCAAGTATAAGGGCCAATGGGGTGTGGATATATTATCTAACATATTTATAATAATCAACTATCCAGGGAGAGCTTTTGGTCCTGCTTTATTCTTGCATCCGTCCCTGCCCCCAAGTGATAGTCCATAGCCCTGCGGGTTCCCCACCGCAGCAACCAAAGTTTAGCCCAAACTGGCGGCATGTGCACGTGTGCGTCTCACACACACACACACACACTCACTCTCTCTCTCTCTCTCTCTCTCTCTCTCTCTCTCTCTCTCTCTCTCTCTCTCTGCTGCCTGCTTACAAGTTTTCAGCTATTTCCCTAATAGGATCGAATCCCTGGGAGACATGAGGCCTTTGGGACTTGAGTCCAGAATCCTCATCTTTTCTCACTCTGCCAAAAACTCTGGTCACCCACAATTCCCTTTATCCTTCCCTTCACACCTCCATGCTTTGGTACTTCCATCTCTGCTTGGAACACCCCCTACCCCAGTGAATTCTTGTTCGACCCTCAAGATCTAGTGACATCACCCTGAAACTGTCCTCATCCCCAGCAGACATGTTCACTTCCTTCCTCTGGTGTTTCCCTGGGTGGAGGCTGGGGAGGGATTTGGCATTAGTAGATACCCCTCTGTGTGGGGGTGCATCTGGGTCCAAGAGATGCCAGGATACACTCTTCAAAGTCCAGAGCCTGGTGGGAAAGAAGAAAGAGGCAATTAAGTAAAGGGGGGATCTAATGGGGAAGCAGAGGGACCTGCGGGTTGGCCTGAGGAAGCCTGGGAGGCTCCCTACAGGAGGTGGCACTGGATCTTAGGGCTTTAAAATAGGAACTAGCTGGGGTAAAAGGGAATCCTGGTCCTAGATCCCACATATACCACAGAACACTGTGAATTAGGTTTGACACCTGCTTTGCAAAGAAAATATCTGAGGCTCAGAAGTTAAGTGACTTGTGCAAGGTCACACAGCAAGTGGTAGAGTCGAGATTTGAATATGCGTCTTTCTGGCTTAAGCTCAGAGATGTGCTAGTATAGGTTGCAGTGACACCTATATTCAACAGTTCTGGCCCACCCTTTTGTTGGCAACGCACTGTTCTAAAGGCAGGAGGAGCACAGAATGGAACCTGTGGGCATCCTGTGTCCCACCCTGCTGGTGGACCTTTTCTTCTACCAGGAAAACTTGTCCCTCATCACTTCCAAGGTAGACCTTCTACTTCCTCACTGCCTGCTCAGCAGCTCCCCACCTCAACTTTTCATCCTTCTCTGCTTTTGTCCTTAACAACATATTGTTTGCTTGTCTGAGTCTCCTGGACTACAGTGCTTACTCTCACCAAGCTTTTTGTACATCTTATCCTCTCCTCCTCCTAGCCCCCAGTACCAGAAATAAGAGACAGTAGTTTCACCATCTCTTACAAAAAGGTGAAGGCGCTGGGTTTGGAGAAGTAAAGTGGCTTGCTCAAGGTCACAAGCAGCATTGGGGTTTGAACCAGGTCCTTTCTTCACTGTGCTTAGCACACTGCTTTGTAGGCACTTAGTAACTGCTTCTTTGATGGATGTCCAACCCGTGCAGAGTGACCCAGATTTCAGCCAGTCTCTTATGAGTGCCCTGGGGGCTGGAAGATATAAAGCAGGCAGAATCACACCTAGAGAAGCAAGACCTAGCGCCCTCCTCTTCTCTCCACCCTGACTCTTGGGACAGCATCTGGGTGTGGCTGGAATGGGAGCAGAAGGCACAGTTGAGTGCACTTATTCTAGGCACAAAGCCGGAGGGTGAGACCCTGGGTGAACAAAATCAAGGCCATCTACAGAGCTTCCCCTCTGTCCTTGTGATAACCAAAGGATCGGTAGCCTGGCTGAGGGCTCACTGAGCCCACCCCACCTCACTTAACAGCCTTAATTCTTATGGTTCCCAGCCACTCAGATTATTTCTTGTACATACATACACACACACCTATAGTGCCTCCAGCCTCATGCCTGGAATGTTATTCTTTGCCCTGCCCACTTTGTCCATCTACTCATTCTTTTAGATACCATATTAGCCTCACCTCCTCCAGGAAGTCTTCCCTGAGTGCACAGCTGAGCTCAGACCCTTCCTCCGGCTGGTATTAATGGGCATAATTGCAAGAAGATAAAATATGACCGACCATAGAATATCTGCAGGATGCTTTGGGCTGCAAATAACAAAAGCCGTGACTTGGCTGGCCTAAACAATAAGTTTGACTTTGCATGGTAAGAGGCTATGAGCTGGGCTTTTCTGGGACTGGTCAATTTAAAGGATTGATAATGTAGTCTAGGACCTTGGGAGAGTCGGGTGCAAACCCAGTGGCGGGAAAGGGCTATCATCTCAAGAGTGTCTCTGAGAAAACCTTTCCCGGAACACGCCCCCCTCCTGCACAGACTTCCTTATCTCATTGATGGGAACTGAGTCACATGAGCATGCCTACGCCAATCACAGGCGCAGGGAATGAGACCATCACAAACCAATCAGGATTCACTGCTGCCTGGGGGCTTGTGGCTAGGGAAGGCACAACTGGCAGCAGCTAGTATGGGGTGAAAACAGTGATGACAACCCCAAGTCCGAGCTGGATTGTCCCCATTTTACAGAGGAGGAAACCAAGACACTTGAGTGCCCAAGGACACAAAGAAGTGGCAGAGCTAGGATGAACCCAAGAGGTCTGGCCATAGAACCTGTCCTGGTGACCACTCGGCCAGGCCTAAAAGCACACTGGTTTGGATGCCCTATCTCCAGGGGGCCTCTGAGCAGAGATGTGGCTCAGCGGCCATAGCAATGAATTAGGGGCCAGGTCATTACCCTGAAATGCATCCAGGCATCAGGCAGCTGGGGTACCCACTTTTTTTGCCCATGAAATGCTCCCATCTTCAAATTTCATTTTAGGAAGGCTACCTCATTGGATTGGCAGAGAAAGCACCTAGATGAGTATGCAGTAAGTGTGTGCCCACAGAAACC